ATAATATTTATTTATAACAATTACTGTATATCATTTTTTTTTCAATCAGTATTTATGACTTATTTTACAATAAAATATCTAAACATCTTTAAAACAAGTACTTGTGAAGCAGTTATCTAAGATACATTTTTATACCAAATATGCACATATTATTTCTTGTTTTAAGAATAAACCTCAAAACATTTTGTCATATTATTATTTTTTTTTTTAAAGTAACACTTTATTTCAATAGTCAGCTTTAGACATTCTACTAATTATAAGTAACTGCAACTACACTGTTAAAGATTTCAGAATGAAATGACAGTATATTCCAGGTTAATACTTGCATTAGTTCACAGTAATTTCACAGAGGGACTTCTCTTGTATCTAACTGCACTGTCAGGAATGTCTTGTAAATAAACAGCATCATACTGTGTTTCTACAGTGCATATGTGCTATGAAGGCTCCTAGCATGCAATGCAGCATGAATATATCATGCAGTAGAGTTGTTGTTTTTTTGTTTGTTTTTTATTCTTGTTGGTTTTATGTGTACCATTGAACCTGTTTATGGTTCACTTTTAGCAGTTTGTGTTGTTCATTTTGTAATGTTGGCTTATGTTTTAAGTGTTGTTTTTATTTGTTGAACGTTACCATTTTTGTGTTTTGTATGTCAAGTATTGAAGTCACATCTTTCAAATACGCATCTCAACAGTTGCTTCTCTATTGTGAAAGATCCATCCACAAACAGTTATGAATATGAAATAGGTTATTGATTAATTTTCATGCTTAAATAATGCTAAAATAAAATCTTCATGGTCATGCTAACTAACTTAAAGTCAGGCGATTAGCTTATTTCATATTCTAACTTGTCAACATTTTGACAAATGTTTTCATTTGTCACTCTTCTGACATGACAAGATTCCAAACAAATGCGATCACCATTGATCACCATTGATCAAACACTGATCACCATTATGGTGACTTCAAAACAATTACAGCAGTAAACAAACAAATTTCTCACAGTGGCACAGTTAAAGACATACATTATAATGTGAATTCACAGTAAAACAGTATTTGTAAGAAAATGACCCAGCATGCATCGATTTCACAGTAAATTTCTGACTACAGTCATTTATTGTAAAATAATACTCTTTAATCCTGTAAATTCTTTGCAGTATTTTACAGTGTACAACTAGCAGTCATTAGAGTATCAGTAGACTGTCTGCCTAATATCTGCTAACACTTTATTTTGATAGTCCATCGACACATTTTCTACTGACTATAGGTAACTTTGCAAGTACGTCAACTTATTCTACTAACTCTAACCCTAATCTAACAGTTTCCTAATACTCTAATAAGAATTAGTTGACATGTAGTTTTAAAGTTACTTATAGTTACTTTCAATGTCTAAGATGGACAGTCAAAATAAAGTGTAACCAATATATCTAGAATTAGATTAGTATACGGTGGTTAGTGATGCATGTTTTAGCGCTGAATTACTGCACTCAGTAGTGTAAAGTTAATTCACCCCGGGGTGTTTGGGAAGTGCTGCCTGTTATGCTCTTAAATTAAAACTTTAAGTAAAAGATCATCAGCCTAACCTGGTCCTAACCTCAGATTCTGCATGCTTAGAATGATTGCACAAGTGTTTGTGTGTGATTGAATATGCCTTATTTACTTTATGGCAGCATAAATCCTTGTTTATGTGAATGACACCCCATTACCTCATCTGTTCGCTCCCATTTGAGTCTGAGGGTAATATTTAGAGCTGTTAATGATCACACAGCTCGTTATTGCTGCTTGAGCTTGTTTAATGCATCCTTCTGCTTTACTTTATAGCATAACGTGCCTCTCTTTCCCTCTTCACCCATCTGTCTCTCACGCTCCTGTCTTACTGTCTGTGAATCTGTCTTTCTTCTGTAGTGAGGGGTCTTGCTCTCTGCTGTCTGTATAGGCAGCATTCCAGTGAACCTCATAAGCAGCTGATTTGCAGCTCTGTCTCAGGATAGCTGAGTGTCACATGACATTTAGGGTTCAGGTGATTGGATTAAAAAAGTCCAGAATTGAGTGCATATAAGCAAAAATGGCAGCATGCGGGTCACAAACTTTTGTCAGTTTGAATGAGTAATACTTCAAGTAAAATCTAAGAACAAACTGGTGTGACGTAATTTTGAACAAAATCAGGGCAAAACCAAGGTTTGGAGTTCGAAACAGCTTGTTTCTGGAAAAGTTTGCTCCAACCATCATTGGTCAGTGGTGATGATGCAATGGGTGGGTGTGGCTCTAGGGCTCCGCCTTTTTTGAGTGGAAATCTCTGGTCCATTTCTTCTTTTCAGTCCGTCGAGGTCAGATGCAGTAAAAACATGAACACACTGCAGAGCTGCTTTATGGTAGAACTTTGAGTTGCAATTGACATTAACATGTTGCTAAGCTAACAACATGTTTCCATAATGAGCATTAAAATTGGTTACACTTTATTTCGATAGTCCACTTTAGACATTCTACTAAGCATTACATAACACACAAATATTGGGTGAAATTGTTCATTTTTAGTTGATTTCACTTGATAATTATTGAATTAAATACATTTTTGTTTTCACCATGTTTCTTTTGACCCCATATGCCATCTTTTCACAGAGCTTGTCACAATGCATTCTGGGATTGCCTTAAGTGTGAAAGACACAAGCAATGTTGCCTTCGAGTTTGGCCAACACAGCTACCATTTGGTACAGCCGTCATGTCAGAAGAGCATCTATGAAGCCTAAAAGTGCGTCTCACTAGGCTCTGCACTCTCTTTCTCTCTCTGCCGTGTCTCTGTGTGTGAATGATCAGCTGTCGTTTGTTCACGAGAGATACAGTCATTAGGATCCTGAGAGGAAATGAATGCAGTGTTGTATCTTTAGTCATTGTGTCTAACACAAAGCAATTTACCAACAATTACAGTCAAGATAAAATATCTGTCACTTAGCGCCTCTTTAGAGATGACTGCGA